TACGACTACTTAATGCAACATACAGTCCTGGATGGAGCCCTGGGACAGAAAAAGGATGTATGTGGAAAAACGAGGCATTGAGTTATTTAGTTATGTACCAAAGTCAGTTTCTTTCTCTTTTTTTTTTGAGACAGCTTCTTGCTTTGTTGCCCAGGCTGGAGTGCAGTGACGTGATCTCAACTCACTACAACCTCCACCTCCCAGGTTCAAGTGATTCTCCTGCTTTAGCCTCCTGAGTAGCTGGGACTACAGGCACGTGTCACCATGCTCAGCTAATTGTTTTGGTATTTTTAGTAGAGACAGGGTTTCACCATGTTAGCCAGGATGGTCTCAATCTCCTGATCTCGTGACCCGCCCACCTCTGCCTCCCAAAGTTCTGGGATTACAGGTGTGAGCCACTGTGCCAGGCCCCAAGATCAGTTCATAGTTGTAACAAAAGTACTATGGTGTCGTAGGCTTTAACAATGGAGAAATTGAGTTATACACAGGAACTCTCAATCATCCTCCCTAATTAAAACTACTCTAACATTTTACAAGTTTGCTTAAAAAATTAGAATGCTCCACTGCAGCTGATTTGAAAGTTAATTATTTTGAAACATACAAAATTTCTATACCTATACACATGTACAATTGCATTGTTTTTGAGACAAGGTGTCACTATGTAAATTAAAAACCAGCAGGTGGTAGGAGCTGGATGTGGTGGTTCATGCCTATAATCCAAGCATGTTGGGAGGCTGAGGTGGGAGGCCCTATTGAGTCCAGAAGTTCGAGACCAGCCTGAGCAACACAGTGAGACTCCATCTCTACAAAAACAGTAAAAAAAAATTAGCAGGGTGTGATGGTGCACCTATGGTCCCAGCTACTTGGGAAGCTCAGGTGAGATCACTTGAGGCCAGGAGGTCAACGCTGCAGCGAGCTATGATTGCCCCACTTCATTCCAGCCTGCGTGACAGAGCAAGACCCTGTCTCATAAAAAACAAACAAAAAACAGTGGTAGAGACTCCATCTCCTTCCATTTTGCCTGCCCTTCTTTCATCCCTGCTCCCCACACTCCTTGCCATGCTCATGCTGTTCCTGAGCGTTCCCTGAATGTTTGCAGCTTCTTGTCACTTGTGCCCACTGCTTCTTCTGTGGGGACCTCTCCTCCTGGAGGGACCCCAGGCCTCTCAGAACATTTCAGTCTCTGCTCTGAAGGGTGTCCTCTCCCTCCCTCTTCACCAGTTTTTCTTTCATGGGTTAATGTGTTGTGTTCCTTTGCTCATTAGTTTTTTGCTTTTGTTTCTTGAGACAGGGTCTGGCTCTGTCTGCCAGGCTGGAGGGCAGTCGTGTGACCACAGCTCACTGCAACCTCGGCCTCCCAGGCTCAAGCCATCCTCCCACCTCAGCCTCCTGAGTAGCTGGGTTTACAAGCAAGCGCCACCATGCCCAGGTAATTTTTGTATTTTTTTTTAAAGACGGGGTTTGCCATGTAGCTCAGGCTAGTCTTGAACTCCAGGCCTCAAGCGATCTTCCTGTCTCAGCCTCCCAAAGTGCTGGGATTACAGGCATGAACCACTGTGCCTGACTTGCTCATTAGTTTTAATTATCTGTTTCCCCACCCAGAATATGAGCCGAGTGGATGTGAAGAGGGTTGAGATAGAGGGAAGGGAAGCGAAAGGAAGGGGAGGGGATGGCAGGGAAGAGGATGGAAGGGAAGGTAAAAGGAGGAAAAGGAAGGGAAAAGAGAAGAGAAGAAATGGAGGGGTGATGTGTCCATTTGCCTAGGCCACAGTCCTCAGCTATTCCATCAAATACCATTTTCATTCTCTAGGGCCCCTCGAACAAGGAACCACAAACTAGATGGCTTACAACAACACAAATGTATTCTGTCAGAGTTCTGAAAGCCAGAAGTCTGATGCTAAGGTGTTGGCAGGGCCACATTCCCTCTGAAGGCTCTAGGGGAGGATCCCTCCCGGTCTCTTCCACCTCCCAATGGCAGCTGGCAATCCTTGGTGTCCCTTGCTTGGTAGCTGCCTCACTCCAATCTCTGTCACCATCTTCACATCTTCACATGGCCTTCTTCCTCCCTGTGTGTGTGTCCACGTCTCCCTCTTCCTACTCTTATAAAGACACAAGCTATCCAGTTAATGGGTTTACGCCTCCCCTTAATCACACTTGATCACATCAGCAACGACCTTATTTCCAAACAAAGTCCCATTCACAGGTACCAGGGGTTAGAACTTGAACTTATCTTTTTAAGGATACACCATCCAACCCACTACAAACACTAATCTAGGTGTTGCTTCAAGGCTCTTTGTAGATGTAAATAAGGTCCATAACCAGTTGACTCTAAGCCAGGGTAGAGATTATCCTGGATAATCAGGTGAAAGGCCTCTATAGCAGGACCGAGGCTTCCCTGAGGAAGAAGAAATTCCAGCCAGGTGCGGTGGCTTACACCTATAATCCCAGCACTTTGGGAGGCCGAGGCGGGTGATCACGAGGTCAAGAGATCGAGACCATCCTGGTCAACAAAGTGAAACCCCGTCTCTACTAAAAATACAAAAACTAGCTGGGCATGGTGGTACACGCCTGTAGTCCCAGCTACTCGGGAGGCTGAAGCAGGAGAATTGCTTGAACCCAGAAGGCGGAGGTTGCAGTGAGCCGAGATTGTGCCATTGCACTCCAGTCTGGGTAACAACACTGAAACTCCGTCTCAAAAAAAGAAAAAAAAAAGAAATTCCTCCTGTGAACAGTCAGTGACCAAGAGAGTTCCAGTCTGCCTTCTTAACTACCTTCCCTACAAATTTCAGGCCCGACTGCCCAACCCCACCCAATGACATATGCCAATTCCTTGCAATAAATCTCCTTGCATGTATCTTCCACTGGTTCCGGTTCTCTGGTTGAATCCCGACTGGTCTATCAGGATTGAAGAACTGCCTTCGGTTTCTCAGATGTACACATGGTGATACAATTGGTTCTAGCACTACTAAGGGTCCTTTGTGTTCTGTGAGGACTATTTGTCAGCAAGGCACTGAGTTCCTGCTCCAGGGCACCTAAGCAGGAGTTCTCGGCCCACAAAGGTGAATGTTGAATTTTACTGTGTAAGCGCCAAGGATTTAATTTTGAACTGAGTTTTCAGGAATTATTTTCTACTTAAGCATACTCAGTAAAGCACTCATAGACTTGTAAAGGATCCAAGTTTAAATGTTTTACACTGGACCAGACCGTGAACGTTGGAATCCAGACACCTGGCTTTACCACTTAGTAGCTGTGTGGATGGAACAAATTATGCAACTTCATTCTTCTGAATTCCAAGATTTTCTGTTTATAAATAAAGAAGCAATAATAATAAGAAGAATGATAGTAATAATAGTACCTTCCCCACTTTTGTGAGAAAATTGCATTAGATATTATATATAAAACTAATTTATCTAAAAAATATATGACCTAATTTACAGATATCCTCATTAAATTATGCATTTGTGAAAGAGACTACACATAAGGATAAGGTAAGGGTTTTTATTCCCTCCTTTGGGAGATCCTTCCGCTACCTCAGAAATCATTCAGGCTTAAATACTTTCTATTCTTTTAACTGTAAGTTAACTTGGTGTGGAAAAAAAAAAACTTTACCAGAACCTGTGTGCAAATTTCAGAAGTTATATAGATATGACAGAAAAGTAGTTACAACCATTATAAAATTGTGTGTGTGTGTGTGTATATATATATATATATATATATTTTTTTTTTTTTTTTTTTGAGATGGAGTTTCACTCTTGTTGCCCAAGCTGGAGTGCAGTGGTGCGATCTCGACTCACTGCAACCCCATCTCCCAGGTTCAAGTGATTCTCCTGCCTCAGCCTCCTGCTGGGATTACAGGCGCCCACCACCATGCTCTGCTAATTTTTGTATTTTTAGTAAAGATGGGTTTTTGCCATGTTGGCCAGGCTGGTCTCAAACTCCCGACCTCAAGTGATCCTCCTGCCTCGGCCTCCCAAGGCCCTGGGATTATAGGCGTGAGCCACCACGCCCAGCCCAAAGTTGTATATTTTATTTGCCATGTAAAATACTTTAGAGGGGAAACACCATTGGATACGTTAATCAAAAAGTAGGTAAAAATTTTTGTTAGTGTTCATTTATACTCAAGTCATTAAAAACAGAGACTTGAATAAAATGAATGACCGAACTTTCTTTTCAAATTGCATTATAATTTCTAATGGACCTGGAAGGTTTTAGATACTACTTCATTTAATACAATTCTGATTTTCTGAGTAATGATTCAAAGCTATTCTTAAAATTGCACCTCAGTGGTTCCTCTAGCAAAAATAAACAACGTGAAAACAAAAACCCTTTTAGTAATATAAAGTTAATTCGGATCAAACAAACATTTACTGAGTACATTTTATGGATTTGCAGGGGAAAATATTTTTTATAAAAGACACAGCCTTAGCTTCTAGAAACTTACAATCTTTTTTTTTTTTTTTTTGCCAATCAGTTTGAGCTTATGAGGTTGCTCAGGTTAGCCTTGAACTGATGACCTCGCCTTCGCAAGCGCCATGACCTCCGGTGGGAGCCACTTTGGACCCCTAAACTTACAATCTTTTATGAGGCAAATTCTTTTTTTTTTTTTCAATTTTTTTCTTTTTTCTTTTTCCTTTTATTTTATTTTATGGTAGTCTACACATTCAGAGGAACTTCTTTAGTAACAAACTATAGAAATGGTCCCTGAAAGTATAGTCTTAGGAGAAACTCTTAACTCTCATAAAAGTTGTGAGTGATAAATAGTAGAAATCAGTGTGTGTGTTTGGGGTGAAGGTTTATCATCTCACAAGGATTTACATATCCATTTTTTTAAGTTTGGATTTTGCCCAATGGGTGTTCTAAAAGTTTGCTATTCTGTATTCCTTTTCGAAATTGTCCTATCTATAATTTTATTCAATGAAATGCAGAAGTACTAAAATGAAAGGAGAAAGCCATCTAATTTTCAAAGGCACATCCAGTGTGACTTCATGATATTCCACCATAAATTACTGAGGATAATTGACGAAACTGTGTTCATCAAGATGTTGAAGCCTGCAAATTCCACAATCTCAATTGCAGTGTGGGACTGGAACACTCAAAACAGCGGATGTCTGTTCCTTTCCTTTCACCTGCTTTCATCTGCTGGCTGGGTTTCTGGAAGATTATGATGGCGAAGGTCTGGCATATGCTCACTGTCTACCAGCACTTACTCAGTCCCTGGCCTTCATCAAGAACCGAAGCAGGTATAAGCCCCTTTCTGGCCATTGGGTTAAAGGGAGTAGGCAGGGAGAACCAAGGACACCAACACTCACATCTTTGTCCCTGCTGCTACGGCCATTGAGGAGGCTGAGAAGCTGTGGCGTTGCTGAGAAGCCATGCAGCTCGGACGGACAGCGTGGGTCTCTAGAAATACGTCATCATTTCCAGGAAGCTGCCTTGGGAGCGAGGCATTATGGGAAACTGCTTTGAGAGAGCCGCCATAATAGGAAACTGCCTTGGGAGAGGGGCATGATGGGAAACTGCTTTGAGACAGCCTCCATGACGAGAAACTGCCTTGGGAGCGGGGCATGATGGGAAACGTATGGCCAACGGAAATAACAGCCAGAGCAAGGCTCCCGGCATATGACCCATTAAAGGAACCACCTGTGTCCCGTTAGGGCTGGCTGGGAAGAGAGACGTGATGGGAAGATGCCGGAAGACGTCTCAGCAGTCTACTGTGGCTACTGGGCCCGAGAAGATCAGGTACAAGGCAGGGCTGTGGGCGGGGGCTGAAGGACAGTGGGACGTTATTTTCCCGTTTGCTTCCCTTTCCCATGAACCACTGTTGACATCACTGCATGCTCGTTTCCAAAGAAATCTTTCTAAACAAAATGGTCTGTGCCTCGTCTTTTAAAAAGGTCACATGTCCGGGAGTGGTGGCGTGTGCCTGTAGTCTCAGCTTCTCCGGAGTTTGAGGCTGGAGGATCGCTTGAGTCCAGGAGTTCTGGGCTATAGTGAGCTATGCCGATCAGGTGTCCGCACTGTTTGGCATCAATATGGTGACCTCCTGGGAGCCGGAGACCACCAGGTTGCCTAAGAAGGGGTGAACCAGCCCAGGTCGGAAATAGAGCAGGTCAAAACTCCCGTGCTGATCAGTAGTGGGATCGGGCCTGTGAATAGCCACTGCACTCCAGCTTGGGCAACATAGGGAGACCCCATCTCAAAAAAAAAAAAAAAAAAAAAGCCACCTGTATTCTCGCAGCCAAATCTCTGTTCAAACCTTCCCTTTGTCCGTGAAGGCCATCACCCTGCCTCTCCATGCCTCCCTCTGCCCCTTCCTCCAAATCTCACTGCTTCTGTGAGGACCTTTCACAGCTCTGAGCCTTGGAGGCCACCCTCTGTACTGGAAGAAGCCAGGTAGTCTGTGTCATCAGTTACCACTGCTGTCTACATTTTGCATTTCTCCCCTGTGAGCTTGGCCTCTCCTGAGGGCAGACTCTTCTTTATGACAGTCACAGTGCTATGCTTTCTGTTAATTGACATATCATGAGTTCAAACGACAGTTCTAAAATGGACTGTGTGGTTTTGGGGGAAATGGATCTTGTCTAAGAAGGATGAGAAGGGAGGGTGGAAAAGCCTGTGAGTCACAGGGATTTGGCTTGTTTGGGAACCAACCACCTCTAGTAGTTTTATGTCAGAGACTGAGGCATGGGAGTGGGGTGCTGCGGGCAGGAGACTCATATGCTTGCATCCTACAGTTATTTCACAGTGAATGCCAGCCCTTACATCATGCTGTGTATAGTCCAGCTCCTTGCACATAGGTGATCAATAAATAGTTGAACACAGAAAAGTGCCCTTGAATATTCTTTTCATTTAAAAATAAATTTAATGAATTACTGACACATGCTGCAATGTGCAAGAACCTCAAAAACATGCCGAGTGAAGAAAGCCAGACACAAAAGATCACATATCATATGCTTTCATTTATATGAAATGTCCAGAATAGGTAAATCGATAGAGACAGAAAATAAATTAGTGGTTACCAGGGGCTGGAAGAAGACGATGGGGTGGGGAGTGACTATTTAATGGGTATGGGGGTTTTTGGGAGGCTGGTAAAAATGTTTTGGCTCTAGACAGAAGTGAAAGTGGCACAAGTCTGCGAATGTGCTAAATGCCACTGAACTGAATGCATTGAAGTGGCTAATTTTGTTATGTGAATTTCATCTCAACTAAAAAAAACACAGGAAAAACTTCTATTAAAGTAACTAAATGTAAAACTTTTTTTCAAAATAAAATTAATTTAATACATGAAAAAATAACCAGAAACCATTTCCCCACTGGACTGCAGAAGCACAAAAGACCTTTCTACTTGATGTTTAGTCAAGTTTTTATTTCAGAAGTAGCAAAAAGAAACACATACATATTAGTGTAGGTTCAGTCCCCTCACATATTTGCCAGCACTGATTCCTCAGCCATCTATATTGAAAGCAGGATGCTGATTGCTTGTGCTTCATTGGACAAATAACTGTTTTCTTCTTTCATAGAGGCAATAAATGATAACAGCTTAGCTCATAGAAAAAGGACAAGGAATACCAGTTTTGTTCTGAAACATTGAAAGCTGTATTGACTTCTGGATTCTGCCATCTACAGAAATTCCGGTCAGTGGCTATTAGCTACAAGAAGCTGCCAAGCAAGACAGAAGTGGAGAAATACAATTTATATGTCTTTGTCCAACATTGAAGGGTGGAATTAGAAAACATCGAGAGGAAAATATGAATAATGTGATATTAAACACTTAAACACTGCATTTTTGTGCCAAAGCTAGTTGAAAAAGAATAAAGTAAGGTGCAGCAAAAATAATCCTTGGAGGGCAAAAGTGTGGTGGGGTGGGGAAGAGAAGGAGGAGGGTAAAACAGAATATTCCAGCTCATGGGTCTCCTGAATGGCTCTTAATGACTTTTAATAACTCATTTCATATTCCATTGCAGTGTCTACCTCACTCACCTTGGGCTAGGTTGGATTATTATTGTCTTTTTTTTTTTGACACAGAGTCTTGCTCCATTGCCAACCTGGAGTGCAGTGGTGCAATCTTGGCTCACTGCAACCTCCACCTTCCGGGTTCAAGCGATTCTCCTGCCTCAGCCTCCTGAGTATCTGGGTCTACAGGCGTGCACCACCACACCCAGCTAATTTTTGTATTTTTAGTAGAGATGGGGTTTCACCGTGTTGGTCAGGATGGTCTCGAACTCCTGACCTTAAGTGATCTGCCCGCCTCAGCCTCCCAAACTGCTGAGATTACAGGCATGAGCCACTGGGCCCAGCCTGGATTTTTGTTTTCATTTTATTTATTTATTTTTGAGATGGAGACTCAATGTGTTGCCCAAGCTGGAGTACAGTGGCACAATCTCAGTTCACTGCAACCTCTGCCTCCTGAGTTCAAGTGATTCTCCTGCCTCAGCCTCCCGAGTAGCTGGGATTACAGGCTTTTGGTTGCATGTGACTAGACTGTCTCTAAGGTCAAATGTTTATCCTAACTACAGCTCGAAGAATTACAAGTGTATTTTCTGTTAGAGTCTTGTAGAGTCATTTTACTTTCTTCCAAACACATCTTTTTCATTAAAGTCTCCTAAAATATTTGCTTAGTGGTTGTGAAAACAACCTGTAGCATAGAAAATATCAAGTAGAAATAATGAACAGAATCTGTGGGTGTATTTTCCCTGTTCTGAATTCCCCTGTCTTCCCCCTCCCCCGTTCCCTACTTCAGCAGCTCCAGATCAGTAGGAAAAAATCCAACTGATATCTGCCCTACAAAGGGTGGTTTCTCCTCCCTCTTGCCAACATGATCTAGTTATGTAAAAAACATCAACTCTGAAAAGCATAATGCATTCATTCCCACCAAAAATAGTGCATTTAGGTTTATTAATGTTTTGGGAACTTCAAGTAATGGAAAAGTTGAGCCACATAAAAAGAGATGCATGATAAGTCACTCTGAATTTAGCTCCACTTTATGATTAAGAACCCAGCACAACCAGTTGACAAGTCGGCGAGGCCTGTTGACCTTGCTTAACTTCCTTCTGAAAGCCCAGATGAAAACAAAAAGTTCCCTAAGCAGATGAAAATAGCTGCAAAAATAAATACGATATCTTGCTACAGGTTAAATAGGCTCTAATGGGGCCTCAGAAGATATTAAATGTTTTAAACAGAAGAGTGGTTAAAAATAGAGAGCAAATGTAAATAATGCATAATTTTTTTTCCTCTAAGTTATTCTGGGGCTGAAAATTGCAGGTGGAGGAAGATGAGTAAGTGATACTTAAAACCAGTCTTTCCCTTGATCTTGTTTCATTGCGGTCTTCATCTAAAGCTCTTAGAAAACAGGGACTGCTTCAGGTTGCTGGGGTGAAAGGTCTAAACAGGTAACTTTGAGGATTGGGGAGTGAATGTGGCCCAACTTCAGGTACATTGTGAAGGAGCACAATTTCCCCATGCTCCTGGCTTTCTGTTACTATTTCTTTTCTCATTTCTCCCATCCCCAAGGTGTGTGGAACAAACTTTGCTTTTGCGGTGGTGTGAGGGGGTTGTCTTTATGATCTTGTACTTTTGTGCAATTCCGGCCTCTTTTTTTTTTGAGACGGAGTCTTGCTCTGTCACCAGGAGTGCAGTGGTGCAATCTCGGCTCACTGCAACCCCCCTCCTCATGGGTTCAAGTGATTCTTCTGCCTCAGCCTCCCGTGTAGCTGGGACCACAGGTGCGTGCCACCACGCCTGGCTAATTTTTTTGTATTTTTAGTAGAGACGGGGTTTCACCTTGTTGGCCAGGATGGTCTCGATCTCTTGACCTGGTGATCTGCCCGTCTCAGCCTCCCAGAGTGCTGGAATTACAGGCATGAGCCACTGCACCCAGCCAGTGATTCCAGCCTCTTGTGGGTAGGACTCATGTTTTGATTCTTTTTTTGTTGTTGTTGTTGAGACAGAGTCTCGATTTTTCTTGCTGAGGCTGGGGTGCAGTGTTGTGATCTTGGCTCACTGCAGCCTCTGCCTCCAGGGTTCAAGCAATTCTCCTGCCTCAGCTTCCCAAGTAGCTGGGACTACAGGTGTGTTTCACCACGCCTGGCTAATTTTTTTTGTATTTTTAATAGAGACAGGGTTTCATCATGTTGGCCAGGCTGGTCTCAAACTCCTGACCTCAAGTGATCCACCCACCTTGGCCTCCCAAAGTACTGGGATTACAGGGATTACAGGTGTGAGCCATTGCACCTGGCCTGTTTTGCTTCTAACCAGGAGAATATGGCAGAGGAGATGGGATGTCACTCCCAAGACGAGGTTCCCTGATGCTCGCTCTTGAAGAGGCAAGCAGCTACGTGGCAAGGAACCAAGGACAGACCCCCAGGACTGCCCCTCAGCCAGCAGCCAGCAAGAACCCAGTGCCCTGAGTCATGCAACCATTGTTTTTTGAGACAGGGTCTCACTCTGTCATCCAAGCTGGAGTGCAGTGGCGTAATCACAGCTTACTGCAGTCTTGACCTCCAGGGCCTAAGTGATTCTCCCACCTTAGCCTCCTCAGTAGCTCGGACTACAGGTGCACATCACCATGCCTGGCTCATTTTTCAAATTTTTAAATTTTTTGTAGAGATAGGGTCTCACTATGTCGCCCAGGCTGGTCTGAAACTCATGGGATCAAGGGATCCTCCTGCTTCCTCCTCCCGAAGTGTTGGGATTGCAGGCATGAGATACCACATCCAGCCTGAGGGATCTTGTCGGTGGATTCTTTTCCATCCAAGCCTCTAGGTGAGAATGTAGTCCTGCTGACACATTGACTGCAGCCTTGTGAAACCCTGAGCAGAAGGCACAGTTAAGCTGAGCTCAAATTCCCAACCCATGGAGATTCTGAGATAATAGATGTGTGTTGTTTGAAGCCACTGCATTTGTGGCAGTTTGTTACTCAGCATTGGGCAAGTATTATGACTGAATTATGCTCCCCCCACAATGCGTATGTTGGAGCCTTAAGCCCTGGGACTTCAGAATTCAAATGTGTTTGGAAGTAGGATCTCCAAAGAAGCAATTAAGGTAAAATGAAATTACTAGGGTGGGGCCTAAACCAATACGACTGAAATTCTTAAAAGAAGAGTAGATGAGGACACAGACACACAGAGAGGGATGACCACGTGAGGACACAGAGAAGACAGCATCTACAGGCCAAGGAGAGGCCCCAGGAGGAACGAGCCCTGTCCACACCTTGATCTTGGACTTCCAGCGTCCAGGACTGTAGGATAGTAAATCGATGTTGTTTAAGCCACCCCGTCTATGCTACTTTGTCATAGCAGTTTAATATATTTAATACAGTAATTAATAAACAAATGTTTTATTTCTACAGGACCTATTCTTACTATCCATCGACTGATTGCATCCATCGCTACCCATCTTCCACCTATCTGTAACCATCCTCCTTGTTCTGAAAATAATACGGTAAGGATTTATAGCTTTACTTCTCTATTTTGTTAGGGGCATGCTACAAATGGAAATGTTTTAAGGCCCTGAAGGAATCGGTCTGTCCTGAGTGGAGACCTCTGATGGGGAGGAAGATGGAGTTCTTCCTCTTTCCCTCAGTTCTCATGGTGCTCAGGCATTAGGTGACCATGCCTGTCAGTGGGGACCAGGTGGCAGGAGGTGGAATGGCCCATGTGTGTATCCGGGTTTGCTTAGGGACCCCCCAAACACGATCATGGTGCCACATTCAATGTCAGAGAGATGGTCAATGGGAGGCTAGAGTGGGAGAGAAGGGTGGGCTTGGAAGGCTCTAAGGAGAGGGTTCAGGTGGGAGAGGGTGACATGACAGCAGACGGAGAAAGCTGAGTCCAGGGCCAGCTGGATGGAGCAGGGAGCTTGGAGCCCAGTAGAAAGGCCCCGCAGCTTTCACAGGGTGCCAGATTGGCGCTGATAAGGAAGGCCTTGAAGTGCTCTTGGCAGGGTCTGCTCTGTTCCTTAAAGAGGCGTGGGTCTTCCCCCAGAACAAAAGAGTACGCTCTGCAAATAAACGCAGGACAAACACATTTGTGGTTAAACAATTCAGCACGAAGAACTCATTTGTTGCTCTTCCAGCCTTGACTGGTGGCACTTCGTGCTCGCTCCATCAAGCTGCTTTTTGTTGCAAAATACTTGGATGCCCTGAAAGACTGGTGCCTATTGTAAGACAGAGTCTAAGGTTCCAAGACTATCTAGTCTGGGGTCACAAACACCAACTTTGACAAGACACTCCAGCCTGCGTGAGAGAGTGAGATCCTGTCCCAAAAAACAAAAACCAAACAACCCCCAAAAAACTAAAGGGAACTTGTCCTAACTGTTCTTTTCATGCTAGCAATTTTTTGTTGGGGCGGGGGATGGAGGGATGCCACAACTGTATTGAAAAAAAGGTGCAATGAGATTTGTCAACAGCTTAAAAGAAAGAGGAAACTTAGATGCCTCCCCTCAAGCACAGGACCAAAGGCAGACTGGACTCTTTCTGGATGTTGTAGTCAGACAGGGTGCGTCCATCTTCCACTTGCTAGCAATTTTTAAAAGTTTGCAAAAATATGTTAAGATGGTGACAGACTGAGGATGTTTTCCCTTGGTGGACTGGAGTGATGGTTAATATTATTTGTCTACTTGACTAGGCCATGGGGTGCCCAGACATTTGGTCAGACGGTCTGGGTGTGTGTGTGAGGGTGATTTTGAATTGTGAAGGCAGCATGACCTATGGAAACACACACGTTACTTAAACAGCTGTGTTCTGGATTCTGCCTCTGAGAAGCAGGGCTAGCATTAACCCTCTCACAGGGTGGATTTGAGGCCAAGATAATTTCTGTATTCAACATGAGGCTTGGTATATAGTATCTGCTCAACACACTGAAGCTACGATGATTTACTGAAACATGGATCTCAATTAGTACGAATGTGAGCAGGCACAATATTACTTACTTGACTTTGCAGAATTCAGTGCAAATATGAAATAAAAACAGCTACCAGAAAATCGGGGGGAGGAGTCCTGAGAATTATGAAGGGGCTGATTGCCCTAAAATACAAACATCAGGCTAGAGCAGTGACTCTCTGACTTGCACACACATCAGAACCTTTTGGAGGGGTTATGGAACCCAGATGGCTGGGCCCCAACCGCTGAGCTCATGATTCAGCAGGTCTGAGGGAGACCCCTGTATCTTCTTGTCTGTCTGTCTGTCTCTCTCTCTCTCTCTCTCTCTTTCATTCTTGACAGAATCTTGCTTTGTCACCAGACTGGAGTGCAGTGGCATGAACTCAGCTCACTGCAACCTCTGCCTCCCAGGTTCAAGCGATTCTCCTGCCTCCGCCTCCCAAGTAGCTGGGACTACAGGTGCCTGCCACCATGCCTAGCTAATTTTTGTATTTTTAGTAGAGATGGGGTTTCACCATGTTGATCAGGCTGGTCTCAAACTCCTGACCTTAAGTGGTCTGCCCGCCTCGGCCTCCCAAAGTGCTGGGATTACAGGTGTGAGCCACTGCATCTGGCCTGGAATGCTATTAATAGTGCATGCACTTAACCAATATTGGAGGATTGTAAGTGCCCATTGCTAAGTGCTCAGGAAAACCCAGAACACTGAAGACATGATTCCTGCCCTGGAAAAGCATGAAGCTTATGGAAGGACATAAGGCCACCCTACATGTGAGACTTTAATGAGTGCTGTCACGGGTGGGCAGAGGAGGCTGGGAGCGCTCAGAGCAGGGACCCTGCCCTTCCTGGGAATAAAGAGCTACTGTGCTTCCCCAATCTCAGGGAGTGCAGGGAGCCCCAGAAGTCTGGGGTTGGAATTCAGGTACCTGAAAAACTTACAGTGAACTTCATCACTCTTAAAATAAAACAGCCACCTGGTTATGCTAGAAAGTCATATTAAAGGCCTTCTTCCAGGACACTGAGTTCTCTTTGGCAATCCCCACTTCACTGAAGTCACCGAAATAGCTACAAAGTGTCCACCTGTGGTAGCTCATGCCTGTAATCCCAGCACTTTGGGAGGTGGAGGTGGGCGGATGGCTTGAGGCCAGGAGTATCTGGCCTTTAGAAATCTTCAACTGATTGGAGGAGGCCTCCTCACATGGGGGTGGGGGTGGTGGTGGGAGGGGGTGGTGGGGGGGTGGGATGGGGGGCAATCTGCTTCACTCAGTCTACAGTGCAAATGTGAGTCTCACCCAAGATCACCCTCCAGGCAGGGCACAGTGGCTCATGCCTGTAATCCCAGCATTTTGGGAGGCTGAGGTAGGAGGATCTCTTGAGACTAGGAGTTCAAGATGAGCCTGGGCAACTTGGTGTAAACCCCACCTGCAAAAAATACAAAAATTAGCTAGGAGGCGGTACATGCCTGTGGTTCCAGTTACTCAGGAGACTGAGGTGGGAGAATCACTTGAGCCCAGGAGGTTGAGGCTGCAGTAAGCTGTGATCATACCACTGCACTCCAGCCTGGGTGACAGAGTGAGATCCTGTCTCAGCAAACAAACAAACAAACAAACAAAACCCCAAAACTACAAAAGACCAAACTCTTTTTTTCATGCTAGCAATTTTTTGTTGGGGCGGGGGATGGAGGGATGCCACAACTGTATTGAAAAAAAGGTGCAATGAGATTTGTCAACAGCTTAAAAGAAAGAGGAAACTTAGATGCCTCCCCTCAAGCACAGGACCAAAGGCAGACTGGACTCTTTCTGGATGTTGTAGTCAGACAGGGTGTAGCATCTTCCACTTGCTAGCAATTTTTAAAAGTTTGCAAAAATGTATTAAGATGGTGACAGACTGAGGATGTTTTCCCTTGGTGGACTAGAGTGATGGTTAATATTATTTGTCTACTTGACTAGGCCATGGGGTGCCCAGACATTTGGTCAGACGGTCTGGGTGTGTGTGTGAGGGTGATCTAGGGTGAGATTTACATTTGCATTGTACACTGAGTGAAGCACAGTGCCCTCCCAGTCCAGGTGGGCCTTGTCCAATCAGTTGAAGCCTTACACAGAACACAAAAGTCGAGTGAGAGGGAGCTCCTGCTGCCTGACTGCTTGAGCTGCCATCAGTCTTCCTGCCTTTGGAATTGAGCTGAGGCATCAGCAGCCTGCTGACTTTCCAGCTGGAACTTACACCATTGATTCTCCTGGTTTACAGAGCTTTGGACTCACCTGGAACTTACACTGTTGGCTCTCCTGGGTCTCCATCTTGCCAACTTCAGGTCTTGGGATTTCTTGGCCTCTATAATCACATGAGCCAATTCCTTATAACAAATAATAAATCATATACATATGAATATGATATATTACATATGAACTTAGAAGCTTCATATATTTACTATCTTATACTTTCCCTTGATCAGAAATCTGGGCACAGCACAACTGGATCCTCTGCTCAGGGTTTACGAGGCTGAAATCAAGGTGTCAGTTGGGTCTGAGATCCCATCCAAGGCTTGGAGTTCTTTTTCCAGTTCATCGAATTATGGCAGAATTCAGTTTTTTGTAGTTGTGAGGCTGTGGCCCCTCCACTCTTAGAGGCTGTTCCTTTCCACAGGCAGTTCACACCATGGCTATTTGCTTCATCTCTGAGGTCAATGGAAGAGTCTCTGTGTTTTTTAAGGGCTCACCTGATTAGGTTAGCCTCACCCAGAATAATCTGTGTGGTTGACTCAAAGGCAACCCTCAGTCCCCTAATGATGGGAATGGCATCTTATAAGGTTCACGGGTCCTGCCCACACTCAAGTGGAGTGGATTATATGGGGCATGTACACTAGGGAGTGAGCATCTTTGGGCTGTATTAGCATTCTTCCCCACACACTTACTCTTTCCAGATTCCTTCCACCACATCGCTTTCACCTCCACGTTGCCCCCTTTGTATCCTCTCCTCCAGCAATGTTACTAAGTCTAAATAAGACCACCTAGACTGGAAGTGGAGTGGCAGATGGGTTAATTATGCCAACTCCCGAGCCCCTAATCGAAGCCTCAATGGATGGGGATTGGACTTCCCCTCAGTGAGTCTTGGGGACTCCAAATTTCATGACTCCTGCCCTGCTGGTCCCAACATCTGCCTGCCAGTGGGATTCTACCAACTCTGCCTCTCCTTCTTCCTGATGCCTCGTCCCCTTCTTCTGCCCCATGACCAATGACTGGATCCATGTTGGGTTCTCTGTGTCCTTGTCTCTCAGGGACAGGCTTGTCTTTGGCTTCCAGGGGTAGGAACACAGCCCAAGGACGGATCTTTCAGATAGGTATCTCTGTCCTGGCTACTTGCTTGGACCCACCCCTCCTGTCTTCCCTTCCTCTTCCTCCCTTCTTTCCTTCCTTTTTGTCGCTGAAACTGGAGGGCAGTGGTACAGTCATAACTCACTACAGCCTCAAACTCCTGGGCTCCAGCAATCCTCCCACCTCAGCCTCCCAAAGCACTGGGATTATAAACATGAACCACCTTGCCCTACCAAGAATGGCTTCCAGTTGCT